TCTTGGTTTATTTTGTTTCGTCCCCTCAACTTTCTCTTTATGTGTGGCTTGAGGAATCGTGCATTTGGAAAGTGTGTTTGTTTTTGTTTTTATTTTTAGGTGTTTTAGCTGCTTTTGAAACACATTCACATAATATGTGGAACATATATTTATTTTTCTCTCTCTCACTCTCTCTCTCTTTCTCTCACTCTCTCTCTCTCTCTCTCTCTCTCTCTCTCTCTCTCTCTCTCTCTCTCTCTCTCTCTCTCTCTCTCTCTCTCTCTCTCTCTCTGTCTCTCTCTCTCTCTCTCTCTCTCTCTCTCTCTCTCTCTCTCTCTCTCTCTCTCTCTCTCTCTCTCTCTCTCTCTCTCTCTCTATATATATATATATATATATATATATATATATATATATATATATGTATATATATATATATATATATATATATATATATATATATATATATATTATATATATATATATATATATATATATATATATATATATATATATATATATATATGTATGTGTGTGTGTGGATGTGTGTGTGTGGATGTGTGTGTGTGGATGTGTGTGTGTGTGTGTGTGTGTGTGTGTGTGTGTGTGTGTGTGTGTGTGTGTGTGTGTGTGTGTGTGTGTGTGTGTGTGTGTGTGTGTGTGTGTGTGTGTGTGCCTCTCTCTGTCTCTCTCTCTCTCTCTCTCTCTCTCTCTCTCTCTCTCTCTCTCTCTCTCTCTCTCTCTCTCTCTCTCTCTCTATATATATATATATATATATATATATATATATATGTGTGTGTGTGTGTGTGTGTGTGTGTATGTGTGTGTGTGTGTGTGTGTGTGTGTGTGTGTGTGTGTGTGTGTGTGTGTGTGTGTGTGTGTGTGTGTGTGTGTGTGTGTGTGTGTATGTGTGTGTGTGTGTGTGTGTGTGTAAATGTGTGTATGTGTGATTATATATAACTATATATACGTACGCACACACACACACGCACACACACACACACATACACACACACACACACACACACACACACATATGTACATATATATGAATATGTGTGTAATATTTCAATTTATGTTCCCTCATGCCGCTTTGCAGTGCTTTAACATACGCTTTGTTGCGTGCGTGAGTGCGTGCGCTTTTGCCAGCACGCTTGCATACACGTGCTGTAGCCTAGACCAAGCCATTATAAAGCAAACCAGAAAGCAAAAAACAGAAAGCGATCAGACACCTCAAGCCGTTCTTCCCTCGCCTCTCCTTCTCGCCCCCCCAAGCGCCACGAACCTCGACGAAATGTGCAACTTCTACCTGCTGTACTGGGCCGCCGACGCCGCGCCTGGGCAGGAGGGGGGCGTCCTCGACCTCAAGACCTGCTTCTCCGAGGGGCCTCCGGGATATGCGTGGAGGACGGACCCGAGGTTCAACAACGTGGTGCAGGAGGAGCTGGAGGGATAAGGAAGAGAGGGTTGGGTAGGGGAAGGAGGAGGAGGAAGAGGAGGAGGAAGAGGAGGAGGAGGAGGAGGAGGAAGAGGAGGAGAGAGGAGGAAGAGGAAGAGGAAGAGGAAGAGGAAGAGGAGAGGAAGAGGAAGAGGAGGAGGAGGAGGGGGAGGAGGAGGAGGAGGAGAAGGAGGAGGAGGAGGAGGAGGAGGAGGAGGAGGAGGAGGAGGAGGAGGAGGAGGAGGAGGAGGAGGAGGAGGAGGAGGAGGAGGAGGAGGAGGAGGAGAAGAAGAAGAAGGAGGAGAAGAAGGAGGAGGAGGAGGGAGAAGGAAAGGAAGAGCGAGGGTAGGATAGAGGAAGGAGGAGGGGGAGAAGAAAGGGAAGGAGAAGGAGAGGAAGTAGGAGGAGGAGGAGGAGGAAAGGGATAAGGAGAAGGAGGAGGGGGAAGACGAAGAGGAAATTGGAAGAAGGAAGCGGATGATGCACTATGGAGGATGAGAGAAAGAGGGAATTGGACAGTAGGGAGGAAGAGGAGACGCGAAAGGATAGTGAGAAAACAAGAGGGAAAGAGGAAGGAGAGAAAAGAGAAATTAGTGAAGAAAGGAGGCAGAAAAAGACGAGTAATGGCAAAGAAAGATTAAATAGTCCGAACACAGTGGATTTCTAATGATAATCTAGATAGGCGGATAGAATGAAAGGAGACTGAAGGATAATAACGATAGCAACAAAACGTTAAATTACAATAATAATAAAAAAAAAACATATGAAACCGTTGGCATTTCCTATATACATGTTAGGTGAAACAAATAACAGGTAAGCTAAATGCATTGTGCAACTCTTAAACGAAGACATTGTCACGAGGAAAAGAAAACTCGGCAAATCAGAGATGACCTTCGACACGCTCCCCCCCTCCCCCTCCCCCTCCCCCTCACCTCCCCCTCCCCCTCCCCTTGTTCTTCAGTGAAAGGGTTTAAATTGGAGCCAAGTGTGTGTGAGGAGGGAGAGGAGATGCAGGAGAGGATGCGGGGTGTAATCTCCGGAAATGGCGCAGAGCAGACGAAGAGAGCAAAGGCACGCTCACACACA